CCCAAGGGTTGAACAGTGGCCCATTCCCCCCCTTTTGGGCCCGTTTTTAAAGGTTGGCCCCCCCCCCGGGGAAGAAGATCCCGGCTTCAAACAAAGGAGACTTTTTGGGTAACTTTTGGAAAAAAGGTTTCCCCCCCCCCCTTTTTTGGGCCCCATCCCTTTTTGTGTTGGGCGGAAGGGTAAACTTTTTTTTTTTTTTGCCCCGGGGGTTGGGGTCCTTTTGGCATCCCTAGGGTTTCCCACCCCACCCCTTCTCCCGGGGGTGGGGAAAAACCAAATTTGGGGGATGGGAAGGCCCGTCCTTGGGGGGGGCCAAAAGGGGGTAAACCCCCCCCCCCCCCCCCCCGTTCCCATTCATCGTACCTCTAGGTTCTCGCACATAAGCTTGGCCATCCCGACCACCTGCACTTTACGCTCCAGTGGAGAGAGCACGAGCCTGTTGGAGAAGTTGGGGATCCACACCTGGGACAGGAGCTTTCCCAGCATCCTGTCGTGTCCCAACAAGCGGAGCGAATAGTGCCGTTTCAAAAAAAAGAGATCGGAACGGTTTTAGTGTGAGACAACAACAACAAGGCAAAGCACGTCCGTACATGAGTCACTGCCAGAAGGAAAGCTCGTTCGTCGTATCCTCTCCATTCCCTCTTCTATTCAAACCATTTAGTACGATGGTTCTCCCTAATGGTTATGAGGTAAATACTGCTGTGTGCTGGAGATGCGCCAATCCGCAACAGAGCTTGGCGGCTCTAGCCAGCGAACTGGCTGGCTACTGCTACTTCCTGTCTTGCCACACCCGTTCAGACTCAAACAAGGTCATCTGTTGTTGAGTGGCAACTCGCTCTTCTCACTTTAAGAAGGGGCTGAAACAGGCGTCCTCACCAAAACCTCTATAATAGAGTAGCAACGCCCACCCAACTTTCCTGCTGCTTAACCCCTTTGGGTCTAGGCTGGACTGTCAGATTTTTTTTTTTGCACCAAAAAAAAAATGAGAGCGAGAGCGAGCGGGCGAGAGAGAAGTGCAGAGAAAGACACCATTGTACTTCTGCACACGCAACAGCTATCTCCACCTGTAGGCCATGAGAGAAGCCGGCGACAGGGTGGTGGCCACAGACAGGGTCGTAGAAAGGTTGATGGGTGGTCGCGCTGCGGTCAGTAGGGCAGGTTAGCTGTGTAGACTTTGAAATGATCAGTCGTCTAGCTGCCTCAACTAGTCTATTTTCGGTATATTGTAAATGATCAGTCCAGAGAGGGCAAAATGATCAGTGAAGACCCATAGCTGGTATTTGTACTTCTGTACTTCTCTGTTCTCTGTCCCCCCCCCGAAATGTGCCCTGCCAGCTCTCTAGAGCTCCTGTGTTTTCAAACAACAAGCACATCCACCAGCACACACCTGTACCTCGTGGTTTCCTAGGTTCGGGCGAGGGTGGTATGTGTGGCGGTACGAATGTGGATGTGTTGCTGATATGTTTTACTCGTCTACAGCAATAGTAGTAGTGTCGTTGTAGCGTTCGTTGTAGCTGCTGACACAATGACTGCTGGATCTTGGGAACGATTTTCAAATTGTTGGGAACCAACCATGATATCCTCGATATCTGGGCTTCGGCAGGGATTGCGATACCCCTCCCTTTTGCTGCCCTCTGCTCTTTGAAGCAGTGGTTTCCTATACGTTCGGGCGAGTGTATGTGTGGTGCTGCGAAAGAACACATATGTATGTATGTTTGTATGTATGCACACACGCGTTCATGTGCATACGTTGAGAGGTTCATGATTTGGCATTGATTGGCCCCATTCCCATTCCCGAGACCTTGATATTACCCGCTGTCACTGACGTCTCTTCATTGGTCAGCCGGTTAGCGCGGGTGCTAATAATCTAGACACACCTACCTATGGACTTGCCACTACACGGCGCGAAGGGCTGCAGGGCGGCAACTCCACGACTTGCCACTACACCAGCATTTGCAAATGATCAATCAATGATCAGTGAGAACGCCTGAAGACTCAAAAGGGTTAACGCGTGTCTTCAACACCGCCACCCACGACGCACAAAACGATCAAGGCTGTCTTGACGCACAATTGTCTGTCTGTCTTTACTCAGTATCGCCACAATACGTGCCAGTGCAACCGGTCCCCACACCGCCAGAAGCACGCGTCCGTGCCCATGCCGTACGAAACAGTGACAACTTGACGCGTAGCGGCGATTCTCAATACAGAAAAGGTGCGAGCAACCGCGACACACCCAAGACCAATTTTCAAGGCTCGACTGCCCCACAACCAGGAGGTTGGCAATGCAATGCCGAAAAGGGAGATGTCGGGAAGGTCTCGTCGAGAGCTTCCCTTGCACATACATGTCGTTTTCCACTTTGGTTGTTGCGGAGTAATCGAGCCTTGGTATTCCGCCTAGGGGATGTGAGACCACCCTCTGCACTGTTACGGCACTTCTCATGACAGCAGTGGTATTGCTCACCCAGCTTCCTGCTGCTGGAGACACGTCTCGAACGCCGACACGCCGTACTTGACGATGAACGTGCTCAGGAAGATGGTCAAAAACCTCACGTACTTGACCGTCCTGTTGCTCACCAATCGCCGGAGCAAAATGCGGAAGATTTCGTGGAGATATCTTTCTAGGTGCACCTTGTCCAGCTGAATAGTAGAAAAACGACGGCAGCGACAACGACAGCAGCAGCAGCAGCAGCAGCAAAAAACATCAGCAACGACAATACGCTGGTACCAGACACGAAACGTGAACGCACGCCCAAAAGGACGAAATTGAAGTCTGAGGTACGGTACACAAGGATATGAGAAATAAACGTAGCATGAGCCACAACAGAGATTCATTCCTCAGGGTTACGATGGCTACTTTGCTGAAAGACCAAACTCAACAAAAAAACACGCCAAGATCGACGACTGTGTACCTGGTGAAGCCAGAATTATGTCAAAAACACAGCAAACGAAATGGTGTTGAGACGCGAGTGGGCTCTCTCTCTGTGTCTCTCTGTCTTTGTCTCTGTCTCTGTCTTTCACTCTGTCTCTGTCTTTGTCTCTGTCTCTGTCTTTCACTCTGTCTCTGTCTTTGTCTCTGTCTCTGTCTTTGTCTCTGTCTCTGTCTCTCTCTCTCTTTCGCTTCTCTCTCACACGCACACTCGACCTCCAGTTTGATTCGTCGCCGAGACAAGATCTCAACAGCAAAGACAACTGAAACCTTCCGAACATTTCAACCACAACAACAGCAACGGTAGCAGTGCGGCCGTGCATACACATTCATACACACTCACGTTCACGACGATCGTTCCCAACAACTGGAAGGCGTACGCCTCGTTAGCCCTCGTTGAGAGCAGCTTCTGGAACGTTCCCAGCACCCCAGCCAGACTCCCCCACTCCACCACGGCTACGGCGTTCTTGCAAAGGTAGGCCTGCGGACAAAAAAAATAATAATAGCAACCAAGACGATAGATAACGTCGGAATAGGAACATGTCATGTAGTTTTCGTTAAAGGAACAATAAAAACCCGGAACGTACACAGGTACATTGTTGTCATTCCGGCACTTTTATGCAGCAAATAGCGCACACACATTTGGCCCGGCAAACGCTGGTACTTCTGCAAAGCCTTACTCCAACGATTCCAGCGGCACTTTTAACTTGTAGCCTCTAACCTGCAGCAGCCGTGTAACCGCCGGGATGTTGCCCTTCCGTTCCCATACCGAGGGCGAGAGCAGCGGGGCGAAGAGTCCCTTGTACCCCTGTGGTGATGTTATGGTGCACCAGCACGACACGACACACGACCAAGCGCAAAAGGGCACAAAGTCGATGGATAGATAGCGGAGAGGTTGCCGTGGCCGAGTACAGCGAGGTAAGTCCGACAACGATTGTACGGCGGGTGGACTCGAAACAACGAATGGCGAAAACAAGGGGTACGCAGGACACCAGAAACAATAAAACACAGCTCAAGCATAGAATTGTGCAACAAATTGTTTCTGGCACGACACTGGAAGCCGGAACGGGTCCTTTTTTTCACGAAAAGCCCCCCAAGATTTCGAACCGCAGTTCGGCGTCAGATTGCACCGTGGACGACGTTTGACGTTTTCGTGATCGAACGCAGACGAAGCCACGGAGCGAGCGAGGGAAAACAGACCCCTGTCTGAGCGACTTACGATCGTTCGGCACAGCTCACGAACGGTTAGCAGACAAATCTATTCATAATGCCGTAGCGCAAGCCTAGCCGGGACTACGCAAACCAACGATATTTTCAAACCAAACGCTTCCAACGAATGACAAAACGAAGGGAGCATTGGTCGCTCCGAGCGACGCCACTTACGGCGCTGAATTCTCCGGCAGGTCTGAGCTCCAAGAGCTGCGAGAAGATCTGGAACACGTAGGGCATAAACTCCACCACGTCGTTTGCCAGGACCTGGGGGTGACGCACCATGGTACACGAGGGAGGGGCGTACGTAGAGAGATGGCCGAACGTAAAAGCAAAGAAGACAAGCGGAAGCGGAGCAACAGACGGGAAAACACGAAAATACAGCAGTACGGCCCCCGCTATTGTGAAAAACACGCTCATTTTCCCCCCAGAAACAAAAAAAAATCGAGGGTAGGAAATACTGCTCAAATGTGGATCCTTACCTACATCCTATACCTATACTCCAGTACCAGGTTCTGTCGACCGTGGCAAAGTGGCGGTCAAATAAGCCCTCCCGAGAATGACGTTTCATAACAGCGGCCCGGTACTGTAACACACAGGGTGTCAACAAAGCCTGTCATGGACAGAGTCGTGTTGGTGAATCGTTCTTGCAACGAACGGTAACGATCAGAGGCAGAACTTGGACCCAAGCTTGTAAACGATTCCCGCGGCACATCAAACAGGGTGAGTCCAACACGCACACCAAGATAGTCGAGATTGGTTCTGTCTGTGATGAGCCTCTTTCTTTTTCCTCGGTTTCTTTTCTGATTGGTCGGGAAAAAAAAAAACAGGACCGAAAATGGAACACTGCAACTCACCACACCGCTGCAACCGTAAAAAGGCGCCGCCAATTATCGTCCCGACGCGTACATTGCAAAGCAACACACGATCCTCCGCCCTACACGAGTCATCTCGACACACCCGAAAAATATTCAACTTGGCACCGAACTTTGAAGTATAAAACACCATCGCAGATTGTCACACACGCGCCCACACATGAACGACTGCCTTGCTATCTAACCCGTATCACCTGCTGGAAGGGGGGGAAGAGGGTCCCCTCAAGCATGGTAGCGGTGCTCGGGTCGCTCTTGAGGCACTGCTGCACCAGGACCGCGACGGACTCGAAGAGGAAGTGGTTGTACCGCGGTCGCGACGGGTTCTTGCACACGCGCTCCAGGTAGCCGTTCAGCTTCGTGAGGACCACCTGCGGAGTTAAAATCGAAAGCGAAGCCGTCGTAGGTATGCGTACCACGAGTTTAACGGCAACGTCCGTCAGGACTCAATCATCACACGAACGAGTATGGATGGGACGGCAATCGTAGAGGCCATCGCGGTTGCTCTACCATCGCCACCGAAGCAAATTCAATCCAACATCGGCGTAGATTCTCAACTAAGTCGTCAGTTCGTCTTGCCGATGGACCGTTGGTGCACCGCATGGATTTGCAAGGTTTTTCGGGAGAACATCGTCTCTTAAAACCCGATAAGGGGTACGTTCGGCACGCCATGAACAATCAACAATCGCTACATGACCATCGTTTCTTTTTCCATGACCAGCACACAATCACACCATTCACCGCATAGCACGCCCCCACACCGATGCTCAAGACGCTCACCTTCTGCCGCAAACCACACCAACCGAAACTGAAATACCGTCCGCGAAACATCAAGCCACACACACCCGCAGCATCTCTGCGTCATCATCGGTACGTGAATCTGCTGCCATTACCAATTACCATCAGCCTCGATAAAATTCACAAACCTGTGTGATCGGGAGGACCTTCTCCTGGGCGGAGCTAAGTGCCCGCATGACCGCCTTCATGAGGTGATCGTTCTCGCCTTCCTGGTCCATCACCTGACAACAGCGCAACCGATGTAGCCCATCACACACGTTCAGCACAACAATGCTCATTTCCGCCTTTCTTAGGCGTTGCATGTGTGGCAAAAAACACCTGAGAGCTTAAAACAATACAAAACCACCATGTCACACATATGGTGCTCTTTTCGTGCTTTTTATGCCTGTGCATGTTTTCCCGCTTCTTGGTGCAAGCGGTTGAGAACGCGCGCTGCGTGGCACTGCGGTGGCAAAAAACACCTGAGAGCTGAAAACAACACAAAATCACCATGTCACACACATAATGCTCTTTTCGTGCTTTTTATGCCTGTGCATGTTTTCCCGCTTCTTGGTACAAGCGATTGACAACGCGCGCTGCGTGGCACTGCGATGGCAAAAAACACCTGAGAGCTGAAAACAACACAAAACCATCATGCCGGTGAGAAGATGATACGGTTCGCCTCTCGATCCACTCCATCTACCAGATGCAGCGAGATAATCATACCACAGACGCGGGACTAAGGCGAAGCCACATGAACGACCCCGACAGCACAGCTTAGAAACGCCTCATAATGCAAGTCAACAAAACTTTCCAGACACGTAAAAGCAACAAACACGGGCAAAACAGCCCGTCTTGTTGAGACACAGCAGTGTTGCTTTGGTCCCGCCAACAACCAACACATTGAATAAAGTATTCGTACACAATATAAGTATGTCCATAGCCTAGTGCTTAGCCAACAAGACACATATAAAACAAATTACATAGAAAATCAGTACAAGTATTGTACAGGAAAACACACTTGACGTTTGTGGTTGGGTTCATGATCTTCCCTCTCTCGACACCTTTCGTCAGAAAAAAACTGATCGACGATGAACCCAAAAATGATTGAGAAGACAATTCTGTCGCTTCTCTCTCTCTCTCTCTCTCTCTCTGCTCTCTCACCGCGAAGAGGCCGGTGAACAGGCTTTCCAAGAACGGGGTGAGGCTTTCCTTCGGCAGGCGGAGGGTGGGTCGTTGCCCCGGGACCTTGTCCTTGACGGCCAGCATGCGCTCGATCGTCATGGCTGCGTAGGTCAACACCACAGTCTGTGACCGTGACCGTGTCAAGCGAGACGGGAAGATCAAATAAATGAGTCAGAGTGTGAGTGTAGCCGACGTAAACCGCAACAACAACAAAAGCAGCAGCAGCAGCAGCAGCAGCAGCAGCAATGGCGACACCCAAACGCGTACTCCAATATGGAACCGGCGGAGCCTACAATTGACCGCAGGATACATGAAAGCAAACGCTCGTCATGTTTGACGCGATAGCTAATTGCCTGATCCCGTACACTAGCACGCAACTAATGCGAATGTTGTCCTTGTGACGCCATAGAAAAATGTTCTGCTCTCTGCCCAGTACCTCTGTGGCATCCGTACCGGTCCAACAGACGCATGCGCCTTCCGTGGTCACAGGACAAAACACCCGCCAAAGGGTACACAGTTCAATAATACAAACCAATGTTGCAAAGAAGGGTTATGCACAGAAGCGATCGCGATGACAACGTAACGAGGAGGGGTGGGGGGCGGCGAAGAGAGTCGAGGACTCCACGACTATTCAAAAGGGGCTCACGTGCTCCGACTTGAGGTGCGCGATGAGCATCGGCATGAGAGCCAGGAGCTGTTCCACGGAGAACTGATTCCGGAAGGTGTGGACGAACTTGATGCAATCAGCCCGCACGATGGGCCTTGCGTTCACGTCGGGATCCTGAGGGGGGTGGGGGGAGACGGGGGGTACTCATGAGCAGGGTAGGGGCAACGAACCACGATGACGTCGACCAGTCTAACTCGTCTGAGAAGCTTTGTCTCACGTTCGGAAGCAAGGCAGAACACCACTACGGTAGCCCGCCCTCTTCAAACATCGCCTGCCAGCGGAAGGAAGCACCTTCTCTGTATTTTCGCCGCATGACTTGCACAAGCGCCGGTGTATGATTTCTCTGACATTTTTCTTGGAGGAACGTCGAAAACATCTACGACAAATCTACGATGACCACACAAAATAACATGACTATACACCGGCATCCGACCGCGCCACTTAAGAACCTGGAAGGCTCGAAGAAAAACTGCTAACAAGAAACGATCGAAGGACAACCTCGACCACACACCTGTATCTCGGGCAAGACGTGCGTCGTGAAAGCATCGAGGACGTTCATGTACGCGTTGGTTTTAGAAACCCCTCCAGCTTGGCTTTGGGCGCGCACCGAGAGCGCCAGCACGAGTTGTAACTGCCGTGAGCACGAACCGGTACAAAAAAATCATGCACGCGTTCGGGAGGGGGGGGTAAGGGGGCGGGTTTCAAAATTCGTGTGGGGTCGCCATCGATGAAAGGAAAATGATTATTCCCGCGTAGGAGTAAGTTTTCCCCTAGAGCTCTGTGTATCCTCTTCACGTCACATGAGCATGTCAACTCAAACCTTGGCTTCAGCATGCATGGCTGTCCTTGTAAGAAAACAACATGAGACTCCCGAACACGGGTAGTACGCATCTCAGCGTCTGCGCCTCCTTCCGACCTCCACCCGAACATCGCTATAAAGAAATACATACCCCGCGGTGCCAGCAATCAACGGATTGCCACATGAGTTGTCGGATGAAATAATCCAAACACCCAACACGAAGCACGCACATGCTTTTTCTCGATATTGCACGGTTAGCGAGGACGATGAGAACCAAACAATCCACACACCCACACCATCACAGCCTAGCCTCCCCCGTCATCCCCTCCCCCCAGCGGGGCCCTAGGTCACGGCCTTCAGAAGTGATATCCGTTCCTACCCGCCCCGAGACTGTCGACGTATTTTCATCGGCCAGCCATACATCGACTTCGATGCCAATTCAAGCAACACACAAGAAAGATGTAGAGATGTAGAGAGATGTAGAGAGAGAGCGACAGCGAGAGCGAGAGAGCGAGAGCGAGAGAGCCAGAGAGGGGGGGCGGAGGTAGAAACGTACCGCGGCATCCTTGGACCGCCAGTTGGCCTCTCGGTTGACGCTGTACTCCTGGTACATGCCCGTGACGAAGACCGAGCAGATGCGAGTGGTGGGCTCCTCGTAGTGCTTGCACATGCTCCTCAGGAGGTCGCACGCGCCTCTCCGCCTCGTCTCGTTGTCCCCGCCGTCCATGTCTCCGGAGATGTAGTCGTCGGGGTTGAACTGAGGCGGAAGGCCGCGATGACAAAAACAACAACAATCGTGGATGCGTGGGGGTTAGTTCCATGCACAAGACCGTCGATACCGTAAACTACGGAGTTCCCCCCCCCCTAGTAGATTTCCTCCCCCCACACACACTACCTTTTCGGCCTGGAAGCATGGTTTCGTTGATTTAGCCCCCGGGGTAGATCGTTTTCGACCAAAAAAAAAAAAAAACCCGGGTATTTCAATTTCCCCCCCGGGCACCAGTTTTCCCACGAGTTCCCCCCGGGGGGGATGTATTTCCCTTTTTGTCTGAGTCGATTTTTTTGCATCACGGCGCACAAAAATTATGATATGGGACGGAAAATGCATTTGCAGATCTGCGCTTCGAGCGAGATTTAGGTATACCGTTTGTCACTTGGCCCTCGCTGTTGTTTCATGGGTGAAATGCTTTCGTTTTCTTATCTATTTCTTGCATTTATCATCCCTGGAGTCAGCTGAAACGTACCATACCATGCTGACGAAACCTTGCGCACAAAGGTAAAAAATAATCGTATTCATTTTTGGATCTCACAACTCAAGGTAGAACCGAACCATAAAAATTACTTGTTCATGCGGACAAGCTGCGAATTCTTGTCCATGAGCGTAGGCAATGGTACCTCGTGCTGTATTTTTTTTCTTCGCCTCTGTTGCTCTTACCTTCCTCCTCCCTCTGCTTGTTGAACGCTTGCTCGTAAACCTTATCCATCTCAGTTTCGCCACTCTCTGTGTGTGTGGTGTGTGGACCATCATTATTTGCACAATGCCTGGGGGGGGGGGGG